GGGGCTGCAAGGAGAGAGGCCGTGCCCGGGAATAGACGTGAATTGTCCTCTCTGGTTACGTGTTGCGATGAAACTGGCGAGCTGTGAGAAGGGTGGGCAGTGAGTCCTCGCAGGTGTTAGGTAAATCGGGGAAGGCTTTGCTGATGGCCACTTTTGACGCCTGTGTGTCCTGGCTCTCAGGACACTCGTGCTGCAGTAGGGCCGCACGCAAGTAGGTGCCTCAGGGTCAGGAAAGCACCTGCAGCCCCTCAGCTGCAGACAAGAAGGGATTTCCTTCTGCTGTAAATAGGCAATGTGTGAGTTTTCCGTCATTGTTTCTCCGGTGTCTTGCAAAACATCTGACTTCAAGGTATCCCATCCCCAAGGGTGTGACCAATCTGGGGTGGTCAGATACCTCAGGAAGTGCCTTTTCTCCCTGGGACACTCTCCACAGCTGTGCAAGAGTAACGGAGTGTGCTTCTGCTGACGTTTTGCTGACTGTCTTGGCAGCTGGTGGCTGCCAAGATGTGAGAGATGGAGAAATGTCTTTTAGTGATAGCCAGAAGACTTGTCTGGCGTGAGACCCAGCAGTGAGCAGGACACTGAAACCCCAAGGGGCCTGAGAAAATAAGTCATACATACTTGTCTCACTTCGTCCTGAGGAGCAGAAGCTCTTGGTGAAAGCAGTAGCACACAGAATCTTGGGGAGGGGGCTGAGATGGTTAAGGTGCCCGCTGCCTTAGCGTGACCGTTGTGCCTGTCTCTGTTCTGCAGAGCACACGCAGGCACAGAGGCATGAGAAGGTGCAGTGTTCAAACCACGATGCAACACATACGCTCGTTCTCTCCCCTGATGGGAAGCTTTCTGAACACTGGGCTACAGCTTCAGCTGACTGCTCTACGACAAGGTAAGAAGCTTTCACAGGATGGAGGTATGAATGGTAATGGTCAGAAAATGCCACGCGCTTTTCCTGAAGGTAACATTCAAGAGACTGAGGCGTGTTCCTGTTGTAGAGAGGGAACTAGAACACATTTCATTCTTAGTACCCAAAACTTTATCTCCTTTTTTAACCCAGCAAGAAGTGCACTGATTTTGGGGATAATACCAAGATCTGAGCTGTCTGAGGCGCACATCAGACAGGTTTCTCTCAAGCTTAGTAAGGATCGGTAGCATATACCAAAGTAAGGCAAATGACTTGCAAACTACACGCGGCTGTGGGTGAAAGACCCAAGCACATCTGAACCTTGCCACCTTCTGATTAAGCTGTGAGGGTAAACATCACCTAAAAATGGCATAGCAGTCTGCTGTGGGATTTTCTGTTAACTTGCCCAGGGCTGAGCCCCATTCTCTTCCAGCTTCTCTTGGTGCAAACCACAATCAAATCAGTTGGCCCAGCTGCAGCAGGGCTAGCATAAGAGCAGGACGAATCAACTTGCAGGTGATGTATATTTTTCCACATAATTCCTGCTAAATGTTCTAGGACTTGTTGAGCAGAGGATCTTCTTCCTTTACTTTGTCTCATGGCACAGCATCTATCTATTTTGATTTGGTATTTCTTTTTTCCTTATTTTTGTAGGGTGGTGAAAGAACTAGGAAACCAAGACATTGTTCAAATAGCATGTGGGGACCAGCACGCCATGGCGCTGTCCAGAGGTAGCCTCTTTCACGTACATTTCTCCTCCGAACGGGAGTCACATTATGGCAGGCTTGCTCTTTGAAGGGAGTGTTTGAACTCTTTCCAGTAGTTGGTGACATCATTAGAGAGTCATGAGCGATGGGTAGGGCACACAAAGTGCCCTGACTGTCAGCACTGCCCTTTCCTCCCAGCACCCAGGGACCTGCAGCTCTGTCTCTCCCCAGTTCCTTAGCACGACCCCTCCGCAGAGGTGTGTTGTGGAGAGCAGACGTGGCCGCCGCGCTCTGCGGTCACTAGACCTGCTCATTCTTAAATTGGACCACCTCTCTGGTTGGGAACTTCTTGCAAGTATGGCTTTAGAGGGAAAACACCCTGCCTTTATTCCTCTTGTGCTGAGTCACACGGGCAGCATGGAACTGCCCTGAAGGGGTCAGAAGCAAACAGGGAGATTTGGCTGCAGATGATGATCTCACCTCGGAGCTATTTTTCTGGAAACAGCACTGATTTTTGCTCCTGCTTCCATAGTGCAAAGACTCAAGGGAAGTGTTGAGGCTGAGCTGTTGTTCTTTTGTTCTGTGTGTGAAGGAGGTCAGCTCTTCACCTGGGGCCAGAATGCCCACGGACAGCTTGGAGTGGGGAGCCAAACCACGCTCATCCCCCAACCACAGCTGGTGGAAAGACTAAAGGGCCTCTCACTCGCTCAGATTGCTGCTGGAGGAGCTCACAGCGCTGTCGTGTCACTCTCTGGAGCTGTGTACTCCTGGGGAAAGAATGATTTTGGACAGCTGGGACTCGGAGACACAGAAGGTAAGGAAGGGAGGCAGTTTGAGAGTAAAGCAGGAGGAAGGTATTTTCCTGGTCAGTGAGCTTACTGCAGACACAGGAGTGGCTCCGGACTGTCAGGCTCCTTTGGAGCAGCAGTGGACGGTAAAGTCTTTTGAAGAATGTGTATCTGGATAAGTTCTTTGATTCTTCACTGTTGTATCCTGACCAGGAAAAGCATGCAGGGACGAGGGATTTAGGGGTTGTGTTTCTTCAGAGAACTTCTAATAATTTTCTGTGGCCAACTGGAGAGTGGGGGCTCATCAAACCATATGTCTCAGAGGTCTCTTCCCACTCCCATTCTCTCTCCAGGCAGTCTTGCACGAAGGAAATTCACTTTATACCTCTTTGCTTTCTTTAATTCTCTGTGAACACAAGGTGAGAGAAGAATTAAAATCAACCATTGCCTTCAAACCTAGAAGCTAGAGCAGAGTTGCCCTAGCCAGGTGGAACCTGAACTCAGTGGGATCTGAATGAGTCCACATCCCTGAGAGTCAGATATTTTGAAGCCAGGTACCTTTTGCCAAGCAGATGTGTAAGTGCTGCATTTTGTTTCAGATCAAATGTAAATCAAAAGAGAATGCTATGAAAAAGACAGAACATTGTGAGAAAGAGCATGTTGTCGTGGAGGGCAGAAAATAACTCAAGTCCAAGTTGTAAATACATGAATTGCTGTAAGAGAGGACTGAAAAGTCCTAATAAACTGTTTTCTAAATCTTTCTTTGTGTGAGACCCCACCGGTACTCTTTCACTTTAGTCATGCTATCTTCTTTCCAGACAGGGACTGCCCATCGTACGTAGGAGCATTAGAGCACTGGAAGGCTGTATTTATCTCATGTGGGGCAGATCATACTGCAGTTCTCTCCAAGGTGAGTCTGAAATGGAAAATCAGCATCTGAGACCTCACCCTGCGAGAAAAGATACACTGCCAAAAGCCAACACAGAGAAATTGGGATGGCAATGCCTGCTCCAACCAAGTCTGAGGACAATCCCCAAGGGATGCTAGCTAAGCTAGTGGGAAAATTGGCCTTTGCTCAGATTTCGGTCACCTGCATGCAAACTTTTGCAGGGGGATGGAATCCTGGGGTAAAGAAGTGCAGTTCAACTCCCAATACTTTTGGAAAAAAAAAAAATCTTATTTGTAGCATACTGGGGACTTCAGAAAATGTGAACAATAGCTAATTCACTAGGGTTTACTCATACAAGTAAAAATCTTAAGCAGCAGAGAATTATTTTCAGGAGTGAAATTGCTTTTCTTGGGAATTAAATGATTTGGACTTTAGATAAGGTAAGATTGGGCTTGATGTGAAGTGAACTCTACCTGTGTTTGAATCAGGGATGTTTTAAGTCAAGTCCCATATAACATACTGTGTCTTGCTGGCTCTCACGCTCGATGGTGCCCATTTGAATGCCATTAATAATGCAGTGATCCTGTTGTTTGCTTCTTCATCTTCAAGGAGGGGTTGGTGTGCACCTTTGGAGCAGGAGGGGCTGGCCAGCTCGGTCACAACTCCACCCGGAATGAACTCACACCTCGCGTGGTGGCCGAGCTGTGGGGAGCAAGAGTTTCACAGATTGCCTGCGGCAGGTGGGAAAGTACCAATAACATGGTTTCTAAGGTCGAGGTCTTAGGGGAATCGCTGAAGAATGGTAGGGAGGGGAGTCACCAAGATGTTCAAGTCCCTGTATCCCAGTAGGTCAGCACTGTCAGAATATCTTCCACTCTTCATGTGTAAGCCACCCTCCTGCCACAGCCCCTGTGAAAGCAGAACCCTCAGCCCATGGTGAGCAGAGGAAGAAGGCTGCAAAAAACCACCAGAAGCCCTTGGGTTTTTTCTCTTTTAAGAAACAAAGGGGGTACTTGGTTCCAAAGGGCAAAAGACCATCAAAGGCCTTTGTCGGGAAAGTCACTGAATTTCTGTTCACTTTGACAAACTGGTGGGTCCTTAGAAAGAACCAGAGAGCAGTGATAATTATCCACTTTCATTCTGCCTTTCTGGAATTGGGCCAGAAAACGTCTCCCGTTGACTTTCCCGAGCTTTGTATCAGGCTCAGCAGCATAGAAGTTGTGCTTTTAAAAATGGAAGGGCGTGAAGCTCGCAGGGCATAACACTTTATTTTGGTATGTGGAACCAGGGTAAATCACAAACATTAGAGGATAGCATAGGAAATTTGAGTCCATATGTTTCTTTATTGCTGAACATTTATGTAAGGAAAAGTCCTAAGACTTTGGTTAAAGGGATGCTCTAGCTGGTCTATCGGGACTTAAAGACAAGCCTCAGCTATCCACTCTGAAAACATATCTGTAAATTTTATTCTGACTAGCTCAGTGGTATTGGCTTATTATGACCAGTTTTCTTTTTCTGAACAGTCAGCACACCCTGGTCTATGTCCCCTCCTTGGACAAAGCCTATTCGTTTGGTGAAGAAAGACAGCTGGGAGACAAGAGAAAGCCTAATCAGTTGATACCACTTCCCATCGATTCACCAGTGAATACTGGAAAATCCTATTGGGGTAATGACCACTGCAGATGTGTACAATCTGTATTTATTTCTTCCAGGGAGATGTTTGCTTTCTTGATTTCATTTTTACACTGAGAGGCTAATGTTATGTCTCATGCTTGCTTGGTCATCCCAAAAGATTCTAGCAATGGATAATTCCATTTGCTGCTTGACTTATCATCATGGGTAATGGCCACATAGAATCAACTTTTAGACAGACAGCTACTATCTGAGAGTTTTTTTACTGTTCCACATCTGTGCACTGAACTCTCTGAAGATAATGACTGTCTCTTCAAATGTTCCTTTGAAAAACTTTTTATTCTTTCACAGCAAAGAAAAAGTCACAAAAGGTGACTGGAATTATTGCACAAGGAAACCAAAGTATTGTCCTTCGCAGGAAAAAGGTATGTGCGTATTTGATCACAGCTTCTAATTTTACCATTGTTCACGTTACTGCTGGAAACATTTGGATTTTCCATCCTGCTTTTAGTGCTCCAAGTTCATATATGTCTCTTGCAGTTCTTGCCATGCTTACCCAGAAACTAACTTGTATTGCAGTTATATATCTGTTCTATGGTTAATGCATCTGGGTCATGCTGGACGACCATTAATTTGTTCATACTTAGGCTGAAATCTTCTTGTAATGTTTGGCTTGAAAAAAAAAAAAAAGAATCCCATCTGCTAGACCTGTAATCTTGCCAATATTTTCATGTGTTTCACACAGAATTCCTATGTGAATGGAATTGCCACTCTGAAGCATGAAGACATGGGTGCGTGGATTTCTGATTGCAGTTCGCAACACTGGAAGAGTGTGAAAAAGTAAGTCAGAAACCTGATGAGTTCTTTTTCCCCTGACACGTGATTTTCTCTAAAAATGATTATTCTCTGGAGACTGTTGTAGGAACTGATGTTTGAGAATTTAGATGAGACAGAATTTTGTACCACTTAGTTTTTGCCCAGGAATAAATAGATGTTGATAAGCAACAGCCCGTCGATAATGCTTTTGTAGGAACAGAGCAGACACATTACCTGGCTTCGGAGGCCTGTCCTCCTCTTCTTGCGCAGAATGCTTGTTAAGTTGATGAAGAGCCAATGAGTTAAATCAGTGAAAGATTCGGTCTGCAGACCAAGGCTTTGTGCAAAAGTTGTAATCCAGAGTACCCAAACTGGAATGTTTTGTGTGTGTCAGCGTTTAAAAATTAGTGATCCCTTCTTTAGTTACCCATTTTGAAAAGCAGTAAGTATGTACTACTGTGGGAAGCCTTACACTTATGGCTGAGAATTATGATTACATAGTCTTTTTTCAGATCTTATGTGGGAGGTTATTTTCTTTGGGCAAGTCTGACTCCTTTGAGCATTTAAAAATCTTGGCTAATTTGGATCTAAATGTTTCCCTGACCACTTTTAGTACGGTTTGGATCATATGGAAAGTGGTTGTTGAGAGGGTGAGAGAGAGAGAGAGGATTCTTTCCAAATCTCAATAGGAAGGACTCGGCAGCAAATTGCTTCATAAAATAGCTCTTTCATAAGAACAGAGGCAGGAATACAGGTAGTAACTCGAACGTCCCTTCAGACACTGGGAACCTAGCTTTTGCGCAGCAGCAAATGGGTACCCTGATGGATAACCTTTTCCCTCAGCGTGCTACAAAGATCCCACTCGTGGAGGGGTTCCTCCTCTGTCCCATGCCACAGTGCCTTTTATTTTGCATACCAAACAAAACCAGAGAATGTCCCAACCTGTCTGGAGAAGATATCTCTATCATAACACCCGCCAGCAGGCAGCACAGGCTGGTGTGGGGCGCTTGAGCAGGTTCCCTCACCAAGCCCAGGAGAGCAGAGGTGGCTTGCCAAAGACTGCTAACTCCTTGAATAGAACGTCTTCTGCAACGCTCTCAGTGAAGCAGTGCTAAGAAAAGTTTTATGTGGTCGGGTGCAGACACGCTTGTACACACAGTTTTTGTTCCTTCATATTGAAAAACCTGAAGCTGCTGCTCATGTTGAAAGAAGTGACTTTGGTTTCGTTTTTACTATCAGGAGTATCGGACTGATCTTTTCATCTGAGGCTTGCATCAATGGAAGCTTCCTGGAGAAAAGGTAGTGTGCTGACTTAGGTGTAACAGAATATTTTTGCTGCATGTAAACTGACCAGAAAGTGTTATTTTAGCCCATGTATGGAGAGATTAGTCTTATCTGAATTTGCAAGAAGTCTGTATTTTTCAAAGCCCAAGCTAAAATTAAGTTTTTTATTCCCCCAACCCTACTGAAATTTGCTATAGAAGCTCACATTCTAGCAGATGACCTCATAGCGACATTTGACAGGTGATGATAATCTCTTTAGGCAATGTTCCAGCTCCCAAAGGATCCATAATAGCTCCTCCTAGCACTGAAGTGCAAGTCGTTTTAGAGTGAAATACAGGAAACCTACCATTAACAGTGCACAGCTGCACAAGACAGGAAGGACAGAATATTAATCAGGTCATAGCACAGTGAGAATATCTTCTTAGATCAGATGAAATTATACACTCTGGAGTCAGGGCTGAACTTTCCAAGTATCTTCTGACGTTAGGATGCTTCACTATTCAGTCAGTAATAAAACCCAGCTTCTCACATCATTTGGTGTTCTTTTTTTCCTTTGTGACAGAGACAAACATTTCAAAACTTCCAGAGAAGTCTCGGGTGTGGACATGTCAGAAGTGCAACGTTTTTATGTGATGATCAGCAAGAAGCCAAGAGTCTTCCAGGAGGTAAGGATTTGATATAAAGATTCTCACTACACAGATACTGCGGAGGTCTGGATTTGTGCATGAAACTTGGGAGTTTCCGTGCCAACCTAATTCACAGCTGATTTTGGCAAAACATGATTGCATTTTTACCCTTCTTTTATTTATTTTTTTTTTTCCCTCTGAAGGTGCAAAAGGAGATTGAGAAGTTATTGCCATCATTGTCTTCCTCTCCCATCTCACCTGAAAATTTCAGAGTCTACTTGATCTTGCCTTTCCTTCTGCAGGGAGAGGATGACAGCTCTTACCGTTCTCTCGGGCTGCTAGCACAAGCCATCATGAAACTCAAGCCACAGGACCTGCAAACTCTTGGTAAGGCTTTATGATGATAGAACTGAATGATTTAAATGCTTGGCATTTTCAGCTGCGGAGCAAGGGTTAGTATCGCTGATGTAATTTCTTCCAACGTTCGGCCTGGAACAAAGGCTTTTGGTAGGAGTAGAAACATAGGGACTACACAGCAAGACACAAGAAAAAAAATCGTCTCAGTCTGAGGTTTACTAAATTTTGTAGTGCAAAATTAAGCTCTTTGTTGTTGTTGTTTAGTTCATTTGATAAAAGGAGAAAATGCGACTTTATCCACGAATTGCAGTTATTTGCATGTTACCTGTGACAGATACTTCACTAGCTGTTTTCTTTACAGAGTGCCTGTGGTCAAATCTAGAAACATACTTTTTCAAGCAGCTGGTCATTCTATATCAGAGGGTTTCCCAGAAAAACCTGCTTCAATTTATCATGAAAGTCAGAGATTGGCAAAGAACCTTCAACCTGCACCCAGATGAAACAGTGACTCTGGAAATACTGCAGATTCTTTACCAGGTGAGAAAGTGTTTGGATCCTGATTAGATAGGACACATCAGTACAAGTTAGAGTATTTTAATCTTTTTAACTTGTTGAATTCTCTGGGTTTCCTTCTTACAAGGGAACACGGGGCCTTGTCCTTTGACATTGCTTCAGGAATCCTTTTGGCTCTACACCAGCATAGCTTTGAAGGAATCCTGCTCTTGAGTTGTGCCTGGCCGACCCTCTATAGAGATGAAGAACTGAAGCATCTTATAGCCCCTGGCAGGGGGAGGGATGCTTTCAGTGGTGTGAGGAGTGCTTGCACTGATGCGTACGGAGCTAAGGATGTGCAGTCCATTACATAGCGTGCCCGTTCCCCTTCCTGCCAGTGAGATCCCTCACCCCAGTAACTCCTCACAGCATTTAGAAGACAACCCACCTGCCTGGCACATCGTGGCTGCCACACTAACGCTGCGTGATGCTTTACGAGCCTGTTACCTGAGAAGGTGTCTGAGACAATAGAATTAGAGCATCTTTAGCTGCATATGAACAAAGGGAAGAAAGGGGTCAATGACTGTATTCTTCCTGACAACCATCCTTTCTCCTGCTGAGATGTTCAAAGTTTAGGAGAGTTAAGAGCTCAAGCATGCACTTAGTATGAATCAGAAAGAGTAGTTCAATTTTGTTCAGAATTGAATATCCTTTTGGCTGAGAATGCAGATTTGGGCCTCAAAGTTTAGACTCTTGAATCTGTATTTATCCACTGGATAAAACTCAAAAGCGTGGCAGACCTACTCCTCCATAAGTGGTTACATCATTTGGAGATTTACATGTTCGCTGTCCCCCTAAAAATCGTGTCTTTGCCAGGCCACAAGTATGAACATGAATAGGGAACTTCAGATTCTCCTGCAACATGAAAGACACTCAAAGTGAAACATACTTTTCCTGATGGAGTCCAGTTCAGAGGTCTTCACTGTAAATGAAAATTGCTTTCTTGCTAGTTTATACGTAACTTTCTGAGACTTCTCACTGCTGAGTGCTGTGCTACTTGTAGTGTTTCTATCCTTCCACTTCCATCCAGGGTGTTGCGGCTCTTTCTGTAGAACCCTGTTACTCCTTAGTCCTGTCCTGCCACACAGATGCATAGCTCACTAGATCCGCTGACAGATTTCGTATGGCGTATATCAATGCAGGTGAACTCCAGAACTGGTTTCAGAGTACAAGCAAACAACTTCTACGTGCCTGAAGTGAAACAGATTGTCACATTGTTTAATGAAAAAGTAAGTATAAAATCTTACTAGCAGTGCAAAACACTTTTTCTTCTCTGTTTTATTTAAATGAGTCGATATATATGGAAATCAACTCTAGACTCTAGCCCAGTACATCTCAAAGACAATGCATTTTCCCTAGTCCTCCAGCTGTTCCACATTACGCAAACCATTTACCATCCCAGTATTTTAGCAGCTACAGTAGTGCCTTTCCTGAGATGGGCCCCTGGATCTGAGAGTTGGAGCAGTCCTCTAGCGTCTCAAGCAGCTCTATTTGTTTTGCACCGGTGATCGGTGTGAAATAGCACCACGAGGGATGGTTGCTATACTTCTTGTTACTCTGGATTTTATTATGATCAACAGAAATATTGTGAGGTCTGGTTAAACTTTAATCTAGAAACCCTACTGAGCATTTCAATTTACTTACATTTAAAAGCAAAGCCGTGGTAATGAAAAATAATCTGTGAAATAATTTCTTGATGACTTGGAAGAATGAATATTAGCTACCAAATGCAATTGGTGTCACAGGAGAAGCATGACATGGGAAATGTGCATACTAGAGGCTTCCTTGGGCAAAAAAAAGCAGTTTTCTGGCAACTTGGCTGGAATTCGCAGGGCAACTACCTAATTCTTTCCTAAGCTTTCATTCACTAATGTACCAATTTAGTATCAATTAACCAGAGCGGAGGAGGCGGTTTGAGAAACAGTAGAGAATCAAAAGCCAAATACGACATTACCTGAAGTTGCTGCCTTACCACACTGGAGGTGTAACACTTTTAATTAGATTATTTTGTATACTAATATCTACTTTTGGTATTAAAGATAATAAACCCAACAGTCTTTAACAACAATGTACCGTAACCTGGGTATCCAGGACATTTTTACTATGTGTTTTGGTTTAGCTGAATTATGGAAGATGCTATTAAAATCACTCTCTGTTTTATTCTTGGGGTACTATAACAGGAGCGCCTGCCTGCACAGAGAGCTCAGATGCCTCCCTGTCAGGGTTCCCCACTCGCAGAAGTGTTTAGAAGCTGCTTTTAGAAAGTGTGCCTCTGTTGACGTAGTGTCCATGTACACAGCAAGGGCACGTTTCAGAGATACGGGACTTTGCCAGGGTACAGACTGGCAGCTCAGTCTGCACGTGTGCCCCTGAACTCTGATTTTGCAAGAGAAAAAATCAACACATCTTTATCTTTCTTCCTTGTCATTTCAGATGGCCCTGTGGAAGCTGACCAAATATCCATGCATCTTTGACATGCAAGACAAGATCGCTGTTCATTACAAAGAATGCATCTTTCTGTCCAGCTCCTTTAATGATGTAAGTGTGACCAAATTTTTACATTTTAGAAGAGATAAACACACTGCTAACACACTGTTACTACAATCTTCAGACAAGCTTAATACCGACGGGCCAGGAATGCTGGCTTTTTCCGGTCAAAAGACAGTGCCTTCTGCAAGACATATGGACCCATTTAAATAACGCACAAACCAAGCAATTCAAGATGATCTTAAAGGTAAGATACCAAATTGTATTATTTGTTAGCTCTGAATATATTGCTGCGGTGTTCTTTGATTTTCAGTGTTACTGAAATGTTGGTAGAAGGGTTTCAGTATTCACTGAGAATGTAACAGAATAATTCATCAAATTATTATAAAACATGTTCCATGGGGAAAGTAGAGTAAATCTGGAGGGCAGATTTTTACATTCTTATTCCAAGTAGCCATCAAGCTTTGTTAGTATAAGTCAAATGCAAGTGGCAGTGCTATTTACTGTGAAGATGCGTTGAGATAAAGTAATAGGATTCCTCAGGAAGCTGGTAATTGGCAAGGTCCATTATGATTACGGCTAGATTGACTTTAAAGACTCTAGGCTAGTTTGCTGTACATGAAAAACCTGGTGGCTGGGGAGCCAGCCTTAGAGGCCAGCAAGTGACATAGCCACAAAAGCCATTTCTCTCGTGGAGGTGCTGCCCAAAGGTAAAGGAAGGATAGCGTCAGCAAGAGGATGAAAAAACAATTGTAATGCTGCTGTTTCCATGTGGCTTTAGCCTGTGGTTTCCACACAAACCCAAAGGTTCTGGCAGCTGTTTTCTTCAGGTATCGCAATGCTAGCCCTGCCCTGCCCTGCCCTGCCCAAGCCATTAGATGGCTGACGTGGGAACAGGGCACTTGCCGGGAGCAGAGCTCAGCTCAGGAACCATGTGCCCTATCAGTCACTGACACGTCTGGCATCACACCTGCACAGCAGGAAATACTGACCTCGGTGCCCTATCACCCAGGTCTGGTTCTTTCCAAGTTTGTTCCTTCCTGCCAACCAGAGTGGCCAAAGCTTCTCGTTCCTGTCCACCTGGATCCCCAATGGCTCTCCTTCCCCCTTCCTCACTACATCAGCTGAAAGAGGCATTTATTTATGGAGGCAGTAAGGCTTGTGCTCCGTACTGTCCAGCAGCAGCCTCATCAGTTTGACTGCGTTATTAGTATCCCACCAAGAAACACTGAGGTCTGCAGCATTTACAACTTGGTGCTGCATTTCTGAATTTTTCAGCAGGTAAAGGACATTCACGTGTCTGTGTTACAGATATAAACCACCCAGGAACAAAATTGTGACAGATTATCGTAGCATTAACCTGTCCCCTTCATAGCTGTGTTCACTAAAGACATTTTGTCAGAGAGTACTGAGAACATAGTTCTTTGCACCTGACACCCTCATAGCGGTCTGTCACTCCATTCTCTAGTGTTGCTGTAAAAGAAAACAGGAAAGGTTGAAGTATTTAGCAGAAGTATCTTCTGTTCCCTCTGTACTGAGAGGATGGTGCTAAAGGGAAAAATACTCTACATACTTAAACAGCACCTGTAGCTGCCAACTTGGCAACCAAATCCTGGGCTGAGCTGGAGTTATTTTTCCTCTAACCTGTCAGGAGATGCCTCTTTAACGAAGATGACCCAGCCTGGCTATCAAACCTGGGCACTCAGACACATTTAACAAATACTACAAGGACACAAATCTCCTAAGCAGACACTGGAATATGTTGGAGGCCACTCAAACAAAACCCCCCAAAGCACAAGTACATCTTTTCTGCTGCGCTGTCATTTCCCCATCTTTTTCTTTACCAGAAAAACAAAGAAAAAAGGCAGGTAGCTACTGGACATACAGACATGGATATCATCCAAGTAAATTTCTTCATTTGATTCAAGTTTTGTTATTAAACATCAGCCTAATTTATTTTATGTTCTTCTGACAGCGAGAGACAAACACATTTCAATACACACATCAGTTCAAAACAAAGCTCGTAATTCAAAGAGAAATCCATATCGTTGCATGTTGTCATTGCTTATTATTTAAGACCAATTATTTCAGTCAGAGTACAGTTCTTCCTCGTAAAAACAATCACCACCTACATTTTCATTAGTGCCACTACAAACGCACAACACTTTTGAATGGATACACCAGAAGAATTAGTGCTTCCTGTTATTCCTCCTCTTTATCTGCCTTAGCAGTAATTAAGTAACGGGCTGCTGCAGAGGACTTCATACAGTTCCAGGTACTCCTAGGAAAATGGCACCAGTCACTAGTGCCAGAAGGGAACTCTCTCAAATCAAGTACAATACCTGATGAGATTAAATAAACTGTGTTCCTTTAGAGAAGCCCAGGGGTTAGCAAATGCACCACACTAGTTGTGCCTAAAAAGCTTAATCCCCATCCAGGTCCACAGATGGAAGAATACATAAACGGGTATTGTAACAGGAAGGAGGAGACTGTAGAAACATAAGCTGTTGGTGCTGGTGCAGCCCTGTGGGAAGGTTTCATCTACGCTGGCTGAGTAAAACAAGCCTGCTAGGGACAGGAGGGGAACAAGTACAGTCAGTGTGGGCAGGGAGGGGAGCAAGCCTCCTCCGGCCATCAGAGGCCCGGGTCAGTGCTGTGGCTAGTGGGTCCTCAGGGCTGCTTCGAGCCCTCGGCTGGGGGATTCTTCCGAGTCATCCTGGCAGCCTCCGGGATCATGTTGGGGATGCCGTCGATGATGGGGTATGCAATGCCCAGCTCCTCGTTAATGAGCTCGTTGGTAGCTTCTTCGTACCTGGCCAGGCAAGGCAGGAAAAAAAACAAAAACAAAAGGAGTAACCCGGGATTGCCCTTTGACAGCCCCTCTCGCTCGACTCAGGGCAGCAGCAGGCCAAGGG